TAATGGAATCACTCAGATAGTAAGTTTAATGAGTTTTTCGAACATCACCTCTATTCAAAAAACAAAGAAGATGAATCATAGCCTTTTGCGATCTACTAAATATTTCGATTTTTCATGTTCGAATCAAGTTAGAAGTGACTTCTAATGATCTTCCAAAGATTGTTTCTGCAACAACTTTCAATCAAAATTTGATCTGTACTCATTCTCCTCCACGAGCAGGACGAAAATATCTCATCACAATGTCCATGGGAATCTACGGACATCAAATATAAATGATTTTAAGAAGTTTAGATGAAAATATTAGTGCTATATTATGATTGTCTTAAATATGAGCTGATCTTCAAATCTCAGCAATAAACAGTTTACATCGAAAATGTATGAATAAAAATAGGCTGAAGCTTTTAACTTTAGCTATCGATTTTTTTATGAAAGAACGATGGCAAAATTTACTATCCTATCGTTTTGAATTTAAAAACATTCTTCTTTTACTGACCGTTAACAGTCTAATGCAATTATGAAAAATATTATTTTTTTTTAAATTTGCAATCTAGTTTTTGCCAGTATTTATTGATATATGAACAAAATGTTTTAATTGAACATTATAAAGATATTTGAAAGTAGTTCAGATTAGTCTGTCATCGAATATTGTCGCATAGAACGTTCGAATTAGCTTATCTTTCTGCTTTGCTTTTGATTTACTGAAGAGTCTGTACAATAAGAATAGACAAAATGGTCTATACTTCATGTTTAGTTATACGATAGACCAGACGGACTTTTACATTGATTATTTATTCTTTTGAAATGAAAATATAATTAATTCATTTCTATTGGGTGAATGATATGAAAGCATTAGGCCAATATGTAGCTAGATGCTTTGAACTCATAACCGATGAAACCGGTCTATTCATTCTTCTTGCTTATCTTGTAACCATTGTCTCTTTTGCAAATATAAGCTTGTGCTCTATATGAAATGATGGACTAATGCACTGAATATCTATGTGAAGAATAGCACTAACGCTATTTCTTTAAGTAACAAAACTAATCTCCCATAATCATGATTTTCTTATAGAATTATATTCTAATAACCTATTATAAAATGTTCTTTACTTTATATTTCTAGATTTTCAATGATTAAAACCGAAACAACAGTGATGATGATTGGATCTCATTCACCATTGTCGAATAACGACGATATGGAACCTATGATAGTAGATATTGATGCATCAAATAAAAAATTACCTAAAAATCCTGTACAATTTACAGTTGAAGATTTATGTGCACATTTTGAACCAATAATTTACAAAATGATCGCCTCGAAAGATTCATATCCATTTCAACAACCGATTGATCCTGTTGCACTTAATATACCTGATTATCCAACAATAATTAAACATCCAATGGACATATCAACCATACATAATAAATTATTACGCGGAGAATATAAAAATCCATTAGAATTCTGTGATGATGTATGGCTTATGTTTAATAATGCATGGCTTTATAATAGAAAAACTACACATATCTATAAAATGTGTACAAAACTTGCAGAATTATTTGTTAAATCTGTTGATCCTGTTGTACAAGCATTAGGTTATTGTTGTAGTCGTCAATATGTATATTTACCACAAGTTTTATTATGTTATGGAAAGCAGCAATATTGTCAAATCATAGTCAATGCTAATTATTATTATTATAACAATTCAGAACCATCACGATTTAATTTATCCAATGATAAATATACATTTTGTACGACATGTTTTAATTCAGTTCAAAGCAATTCGATATTTATCGGTGATGATCCAACACAAACATTAATTGAAATACCAAAATCACTATTTTTATTAGCTAAAAATGATATAAAAGAACTTGAAACAATGATTGATTGTATTGTTTGTACACGTCGTTGGCATCAAGTATGTGCATTACATTTAGATCAAATATGGCCTGAAGGTTTTATATGTAATACATGCATACATCAATATAATCTAAAACGTAAAGAAAATCGTTATATAGCATCGGAATTACCAGTCAATAATTTATCAATACAATTAGAAAAACGTGTTAATAATTTTTTACACAATCACAATTGTCAAACAAGTCATGTAATAATTCGAATATTATCTGTCAGTGATAAAATATGTAAAGTAAAACCAAACTTAAAAAAATATTATCCATGTCAAGCAGTAAATGGTTATCCATATCAAACAAAAGCTATATTTGCTTTTCAAGAAATCGATGGTGTTGATGTTATTTTCTGTGGTATGTATGTACAAGAATATGATGAACATTGTCCTGCACCAAATACACGTCGTGTTTATATATCATATTTCGATACAGTACATTTTTTTCAACCAAAAATTTATCGCACAGATGTTTATCATGAAATTTTAATTGGTTATTTGGATTATGTTAAACAACATGGCTATATGTATGCTCATATATGGGCTTGTCCAGCACATGAAAATCTTGATTATATATTTCATCGTCATCCATCTGAACAACGTATGCCAACGTTAAAGCGTATACAAAATTGGTGTAAAAACATGTTGAATAAAGCAATTGCAGAACGTATTGTTATTAGTTATAAGGTAAATAAAAAAATATATCTAATCTCTTTGCTAATGAAAGACTACTCAATCAATTAGTAAATAATAGTTTTAAATAAAAGATCAATATTTTCAGTATTTTATTTTTTCAGGATATTATGCAAGATTGTTTGGATAATCAAGTACAAACAATTCTTGACATTCCATATTTCGATGGCGATTTTTGGCCGTATATGATTGAAAACTATATTGAAAGTATATTTTAATATTGATAATAAAAATCAAATTTTATTTATTTATATTTTAGAAATTGAAAAAGAAGAATATGAAGAATTAGATAATCCATTTGAATCAGAAAATTCAACCAATGTGAGTAGAAATTGTGAATACAATTAAAATTCCTATTATCATATGAGTAGAACCTATCGGATACATCCTTTCTCTAGTCTAATTTAAATAGTCACTATTCAAATCTTGACTTTTATTTTAATTTAGATTTCTAGTAAACGTAAATCTGCAAGTACAGATGAAAACAAAAGATTGAAAAAAACGGCTGATCGAATGTCAAATTCTTCTTATTTACTATCTACAATATTTTCAGCTATGGAAAAATACAAAGAGGTAAATTATTCAAAAAGAAAACAAATTTAATCTGAAGAAAAATGACACTAAACTATGCATTAGAAGTCGACGATTTTTTTTTAAAATCCTCTGTTAGGCTACGAGTACGAAGTCTTTTTTTCAGCGTATGTATAACTCGTTGGGATCGATGTAATGCGGTAACAAATAAGAGTATCCATATCTTGTCTTATCAGATAGTATCTATCGGTAAAATTTCAGAAGACTTACAAAAATCTTCTTTTAGACATTCTTTGTTATTCGTCTTCATAATGAAATAACATCCTATCCAACAGTTCATGATATTAATGCTGTAATTCAATGTGATATAATGAATACGAGAAACATATTTTTAAGTTTTGCTTGTCAGAAGAATTATGAATTTTCTTCATTACGTCGTGCAAAATTTTCAACTATATCTTTATTATATGAATTACATACATCAACAACAGATATATTTACATATTATTGTAATGCATGTCGACAACAATGTGACATATATTATCATTGTACAGTATGTGAAGATTTCGATTTCTGTGAAAAATGTTATAATATGGATCCAAAGCATGAACATAAAATGAAACGTTCAATGTCATCAATAGTTCGTGAAAGTCAATATGGTAAACATAATTCATTAAATGTTGATGATAAATCTATAACAAGTATATTGTGTAAAATTACAAAGATGAAAATTAATGCAACATTGTATTGAAGCATTATCACATATTGTTAAGGGCCATTTTAAAATCTAAAATACACAAAATAACGAGCAACTTATTTACAAGTAGATCGACGTCCTATACAAACTATGAGGATGCAACAAGATCAATGTTTTGTTTTATAGTATTAATTCTATTTGTGAATAAAATCACCTTTGTTGTATATTCATGTAAACTTCATTTTGCTGAATAAAAAAAAAAGTTAAAATATATTTATGTTGTAATTATTCAACGTTATTTTATATATTTGAATAACTAATGGATAAATCAATAGAGGTTTCTACCATTTTCCTAGCTTCTCTCTTAAACGTCCAGAAGTAAGATCTCGATTTTTTGCAACTGAGTGGATTAAGAAGAATAGCAAAAGAATAGTCAACAGAGTTTTTCTTTATCGAGCCAGTCGATAGAATGATATGAATTCTTGTTCGCTTTTCTTACTCTTTAACTCTTCGTACTTGTTCTCAATGTGTCTCGACTCACTCTTACAAAAATCACGAAAAATCACTATAATTCTTGTCACTAGAAGTGATCTAAAATTGGATGTGGGTGAGAAAGCATGAAACCTTTACACCCATATCCACACTCACACTCCAAACTGATTTTAGGAACATAACAAACAATAATCTGTAAAAGAGAAATGGTTCGTCAAATATTCGACATGATCATTCAAGCAAAAGCATTTTAAATCATGGCTAATGAAGATAGTTGAAATGGATCCATTCACAATCATTCAGAAGCAATGAGTTCCCAATAAATTGCAAGGAATCGCTCATAATGTATAAGTATGAAGTCTTGAAGAAAAGAAAAATACTATTAAAAAAAAACATTATGATTCAATATGGATTACTATTGATCTAATTACTTTTTCTCTCTAATACTACTCTTTTGTCATGCATCATCAAGATATTCAATTCAATTTTCATAAACAATAGTATCTGATTCCAATAAATCTTCACTGACATATGAGATATATTTTAAGCAAAATAGACAGTTTCATGTACGATATATTCATTCTTATAGTTAAAATGAATTACCTAAAAAATTGGCATAGGAAATGAGAAAAAAAACCAATTGAGACGCAGTCTCTTCTCGATAGTTTCAGTTTATTTTCTCTTTTTCTGCCAAAACGACAGCAGGAAAACATCATATTGTATTTCTTTTTGAGTTTCTATCCATGCGATAGCTTTCTATATAATGAATTTCATTTACTTATATTGTCTCAATTACTTTTGTTATTTTCTCTTTGTTATGTAATGTAGTATAAAAGAATGGAGATGCATAAACTATAGAAATTAATTTTGAACGATATAGAAAACACTTCAAATTCTAGAAAGCATGATACAGAAACGTTTTGACAAACAATATAAATAATCACTATTTTGCAAAATAATAATAGAAATGGTGAACTTTTTGTTTCAGTAAGATAATTTCTCTATACGAGTAAGAAATACAAGACATTGTTCTACATAATAAGTTTTAGATTGATTCGTTAAATTTCAATCCTCTTTTTTCGTTTGAAACATCGAAATTATTTTAGAATCATTCATCTATAGGAATGCGGATGTCAAAGTTTCGTGTATATAAATAGATGGGAATACTGTTGAGCGTTCGATAAGTATAACTTTTTTTGAAACAAAACTATTCATGAGTTCTGTCGTAGCGATTAAAGAAAACAAGCCTTCCAATAGAGCTGATTGATGTTCTATATAGGTTTCGTAAGAGTTATCCTGCGTGCTCAGAAAATCGTCGCAATGCTTCTTTCATGTAGTTTCGTAGATAATTGAATAGAAAATTTGGTCAAACTAAGCTAGGAATCTCTCAAAATGAAATTTTATCGAGTCATTGATGAAACACTAATAATACTTTTCTAAATGCTTCACATAGTATGTCGACTGATGACCGTCGCTACCAAGGTTAGCCTTATAAGTACGTCTCTCCTGAAAAATTAGCACTGCATCATCCACATTCTTCACTGTCAAAATCCTGGCAATAGGGACAGTATTTTTTTTCTAATACTTCCTTTAGTACATATTTTAGAGTTGAATCGTACGTCATAGGTTCCTATGTGGTTTAGTCGCTCAAACTCAGACAACATTAGTGGTGAAATATGCGATGGACACTATCATACTATACGTTCAACTGGATAATAAGTATGACCAAAAACAAAAACTAGACATTTGATCCAAATTTTTCTCACTTGATTATTATCAGCATTTCTCCAGTATTCTGCCCATATACAGTCCGCATGATAGAAAAGAGATAGATTCATTAGTATTCGATAGCTCTATGCCAATATTCCTTGTGAAATAGAAATCCGTTTGATTGAAAGATATCTACCTATATCACACAAGATTCATACTGTTGCCCATGCGAATGATATTCGTTATATACAAATCACTGAATATAATTTGTATTCATTTCATCCACGTAGTCTTATTTCAGGTTGTCACATAACTAAAATGAGGAAAACAAAACACTGAGTGCATCATCGTTTCAGTAAGTCCAAATATGCTAACTAATATTGTCTCTGTTTCGGGACTGTCCAAGGAGATGTCTAGATATAAAGGAGACTTAGTAAGTTTGTGACATGCATCTTAGACTAAAACGACTATTTATTGATGACAAAGTAGATTCATCTGTCAGGCTTCACATCAAAATGACGATTCATTGCTACAGAATCATACACTAGCCCAAACTAGAACAATATTATTTTATCTAGAGCAGGGTTAGAGAGTAAAAAACAACATTTTCGATAATGTCATTTGTTCTTTTTTTTGAATAGGCAAACTGGAAAAGTTTTCATATCGTTAACAGTATTTAGATACTTCGGTGTTATGTTCATCGTTGGGATGATCGCTGCAGCAATTATCATTCCAATCACTATTGCTTGAAGCAATACTACTAGTAAGTATAGCATTTCATACTTTTACATTACGAACTCTGTTGAATTGTGTTATATTTGATCCTATTCTATCAAGAGAATGTTTGAACGGAATTGTTAAGAGGTCGCAACATTCCCTGAAATCTTTGTTGACTTCGATAGCACATGATGGTTTTATGACACAATCTACTTGTAGTAGGAATCCAGTATCAAACCCAGAATACTTTATAAACGCAATTGATCATGTGATACAGTTGACCAATGCAGAATATTATCATCTTTTACATCTTGAATTTTTGACTTAGTGTCATCTGGAACCCTTTCACATTAAAAATGGATATGGGTGTGGGTTGGATGTGTGACTGTGGCTGTGGGTTTTTAATTGCGAGTGAGGTAAACACCGCAACCTATACCCTCACACTATACAACCACACCCACATCCACCCACACCTACGCCCACACACCCCACAACCACACCCCCGTCTACACACCCGCCCGCACCCACCCAAGATGAAATAAGAAAAAGATGTTGATGAATCAATAGTTGTATAAATGAAACTATCGACGCTGCATCATTTATTTAGTCTTTTTTTTATTGCATTAACGTCATTTTTTGTTTTGTTTTTATAAAAGCCTAAATCTTACGATCAGAGTTTGTTCAGTTCTAATTGTGGTAACAATTGAAAAAGAAAATATTCATGTTCAATTAGATTTTCTCTGGTAGTGGTGCTTTTTATTGTGTTTAATATTATCGTTTACTTCATTCCATGGATTGTGCAACTATTGTTCTTGAGTATATTATGTTTGTAAAAGAAGACAGAAATCACCAGGTGAAGTCCTTGAGCAATAAATAGAGTTTTGGCACTAAGTTTTGTGGGTCCCATGATAATAATACAGCTTTGTTTTTTTTCAGAGTAACTTCAGTTAGTCAAATGTCAACGAAAATAATTTTTTTTTACTTTGTGAAACGACTATGACTATCAAATGTACGTGCATCGCTTTACTATTCGATAACACTTTGATAAATCTAGTTGAATCAAGCAAAAAGTATCTGACTAAACGGTAATTTAGTGCCATAGGAGTTACATAGATTGTTAGAAGAATTTGTTTAGATTCAAAACAAGTGGATGGTAAAATGCGCACTCGGACTACTTGCAAGAATTGATTGTTAAGGATAAATATTGTTGCTCGTTATTACAAGTACCGCTTATTTACCTATACTTTCGTTGTGTATTTTAATTTTTTTTTTTAATTTGCTATTTCGTGCAAGATCTTGATAGCATCGTAATTTTATGTAAATAGGTAAAATGAACAACTGCAACTATCGAATGATATATAAATACAGAGTTCTAGAAGTAAACGTATTCGTAAAATTCAGAAATATTAATTCTTATGTAGGCATTCTGAACCAGATCAGACTAGAAAAATGTGGTCTGGTAGCGCAACTCTAGTTGTTAGATTTTTTCTAATCTTTTTCAAAATTTTTCCAAAAAATTTAATAGGAATCTCAATATATATATTTAATTTACATACTATAAAAACATTCTCTTTTACTTATAGTTCGAAAGAGAATTTATTTTTTTCTATTTAGAATTCTATTGATCTTAAAATATTTTATTTTTGTCCTTGAAAGTTTGATTCATCATACAAAAAAAACAAAACAGTTGATATATGATTTATTCTTTCTTTTTATGTTTATTTTCTTTGCACATGAGTTATATTGTCTAATGAGTATATTTAGCAATGCTTTTTACTGTTTGATCGAAAAGGTTATTTTCTTTTCTCTTTACCTTTTTTAGCTCAAACAGCGAGTAATAAATAAAACGAGTACAATAAAAAAATGTATCATCAATCGAACAATTATGATAATCAATCTATCGAAATGAATCCTATTAATGGGAAACCTTCATCATCAAAACAAACAAGTTTTCAACACAAATTCATTTAGTTAGTTTTCATTGAAATTCGAAAAAGAAAATTTACTTTTAATTCAATCTAGTAAAAAACATCATTTTACTAAATGGAGAAATAACATAACAAATTCAATAAAACACCGACAAAAAACTTCTAAGTTTAGTTTCTTAAAAAAAATTTTCTCAAAATTTAATATATATTTTAATTGCTATTTTCTAGTCAAGTTTTCATCTCTACAAATGATAGCCTAATTCAAGTTCACAGAAATGATCGTAATTCATTATCAACAAAAACTATACGTGATAAAATAACAATAAATGTTAGTGGAAAACGTTATCAAACATATTTATCAACTCTTGAAAATTATCCAAATACATTATTGGGTAATAAACAAAAACGAATGTATTATTGGGATGAACAAGAAAATGAATTATTTTTTGATCGTCATCGAACTTGTTTTGAAGCAATACTTTATTATTATCAATCAAATGGATGTCTTCGTCGGCCAGATTATGTTCCATTAGATACATTTTTAGAAGAAATTTCATTTTTTGATTTAGGTCCACAAGCTATATCACAAATACATGAATCAGAAAATGTTTCAATTATTAAACATATTGATTTACCAAATTGGTTTTGGCGTCGTTATATTTGGTTTTATTTAGAATATCCACAACATTCAACATATGCTCGAATTCTTCATCTTATTTCAATGTCATTAACTTGCATATTTTGTATTACATTAGCTATTGAAACTTTACCAAAATATAATGAACAATGGGATAATTTATGTGAAAAAAATTATAATATAACATCATTAAAAAATAATGAATCAATATGTTTAGAAAGATTTTCTTCACCACTTTTTATAATTCAAACAATATGTATATCATATTTAACGATAGAATTTATTTTACGTTTAATTAGTACACCATCATATTATAAATTTATTTTTTCTCTATATAATTGGCTTGATTTAAGTGCTATTATACCTTATTTTGTACTATTAGGTATTACATTAAATCATAAAGTAATAAATTTAAATGAACGTTTACTTATTGGTTTATACGTATTACGAATATTAAGTTTTTTACGTATAATAAAAATTTATTTAATTTGTAATCAATTGAAATCATTACGTGTTCTTAGTTCAACATTAAAAGAATCATTTATCGATTTTACTATTATGATTATTGTATTGACTTCATTGGCTTTTATATTTGGAGCTGCTGTTTATTTTGCTGAAAAAGATGTTAACGGTCTTGTTTTTGATTCGATTCCAAAAGCTACCTATTGGGGAATAATAACTATTACGACAGTTGGGTACGTATTTCTATAGATTCAACTATTCAAAACAATGATACGTTATAACTTTGTATCAAGTATCAAAATCAAACTACTTTTTCACTGTTCAGTCTAACTTAAAATGGCGTTATTAGAATTACGTATATTTCATATACAAAAAAAACGGTTTCTAAACAATTAAACTTTACAATCACTGCACTCATTTATTAAAACATTGTAAAAAAATTATTATTATAGTAATCACGAGTTGAATAAGGTCGGATGATTTAAATGCGTGAAATACAGTTTCGTTGCAGTAATATTCTTGCCACTGAACGAAATTGATAGTGTATACGAGAATCAAATCGATGAAGATCAAATGAAATCTCTTTTCAAAGTTCAAAAAGCAGATTTTTGTTCTGTTTTCTTACGTGAGAAACCTTCGTTGAAAAAAGAAATAAAACTCAGGCTCAACGACCCATTACGAGCCCTGTTTTATGTTTAAGTATCATATCTGAGTATATTTAGTTCATTAAACAGCCAATAACACTTGAGAACATTCTTTTATCAGTCAATAACTTATAATTAAATGTCAACTCATGAAGAAGTGGTGGATAACAGAGCTAATCTTAGATTTCATATAGATGATACATTTCTCAGAGTATTTCGAATATGAAACTGATACCGACAAGAATTTCAGACCCATTAATCTAGTACGTAGTAGTGTGAATTGACAGATTCCAGACATTGAAAGGAATGAAAACCAACTCTGACATTCGTACTGTATTGCAAAAAATAGTATCAATCATAAAAGACATGTAATGATCAAAAATCATTTCTCAAATAATTGATTGTACTTTTGAATAAATTAGATATGGAGATATGTATCCAATAACAGTAATTGGTCGAATTCTTGCTTGTTCATGTGCTTATTTTGGTGTTGCAACGAGTGGTGTGCTTGTTTCTGTACTTGTTGATCGTTATCAACGTGTTTATAATCGAAAAAAATTTTCTCCTGAACAAATTATATCAACTGCCGATCCATCTAACAGTGAATATGATGAAAAACAAGATTTTATAAATAGAACATTAAATGAAAGTAAAAAAACTTTATCAAGTAAATCAACTCTACCATTGGAACGTGAATCTTCAATACATTCATCAATAAATAATACAAAATCTGTTGAACATAATACTTCATCAGTTCATGTTCTATTTATTATTTCGCTTACTGATAATGGAACAAATAATAAATCGACGTATCAAAAAGCAAATGTACTTATGGAAGAATTAAAAGAAGCAGTACAAAATAGTAAAGATCAGATTAATTTAAAATTAATTAGTAGTAAAATAGATCCTGTAAGCGACAAAATATTAACTGTAAATGAAATGACTTCTAATTCTGAAAAATAAATATTCTAAAACAAATTGTTTTCGTTTTTGTACTTAAATGTCTATCAAATGTAACTAAAAATTGTACTAAAAAATGGATATGATCAGCTAAGCATTTAATAATCAATATGGTGAATACGGATGTTAGTCTTGAAGTGTATTTTCTCTTCACATACAATCATACTTTGACATGGTTTAAATATATCTAGATAAACAATTTGATATCAATAATAACTGGTGATGAGAAAGTTTTTAAACAAGATGTTTATTCATTTTAATCTGCTTGAAAGTATCTCAGACGAGTCAAAAACTATAGGTCGCAACCAAAATTTGAATATTTGCTTTAAAAGTATTGAAGGATTTTTTTCAAAGATCTCAAAAATTATTTTTAATAATAAGCCAACAGTTTTTTATTTACTCTGTAAGTACTCTTTCTAAAATGCTACAAATTGGCATAATCGATCATTTTGGAACATGAACAGTGCTCTATAAAATCTGAGATTGAACTAAACTAGAGTTTTTACCCAAGTGAGGCTATGAGCATATGGATTTGATTGAATAGTTGTATTGCGTAGAAAGTTATAGAAAACGAAGTTCTTCTCATTGTAATCGATCATAATGAGAATAGAGAACCGGTAAATAAATATCGGTAGATGAATAACAGAACGAGTCACTGTGGATTAACCTAAATTTAATAATGACCTAGTAGGAAAAAAGTCTGAAAACAATATATGTATGTGAAAAAGAGAAACCTTCATTTTTGATTACAATAATGAATTTCAATTATCTGAAGAACATTGCAAAATATGGACATTTTTTTAGTATGATTCTACTTTAGATTTCAAGCTTAAGTTATACGAGTTAGTAAATTAATTTATAAAAGAATTGAAATTTCATTACCTATTTTCTTGATTATCGTGATATTAAATATTTTACATGAAACAATAATACATACTGTATGGTATAATATTGTGCAAGGAAAATTGGATCAAACTACATATTAAAGGCAACATGTAAGTGATAAACATGTTGTTCAGATCCTTCTGAAAGAGTAGTCTATATTTTGTTGAATACTTGTGAAAATGAATAAATGAATGTTTCTCGATTTTCAAAAGATATTATCAGATGAATTATTATGCATTGCCTGTGTTTATAGCATCTTTTACTATGTCGAGCAGTTTTTCGGAGCAACAACATGTTGTGTGTTCGCTGTATATTGCCACCTTGAGTGTTTATGTCAATATTGCTCTTGAATTTTGCAACCAATGTTTGAATTGAGTGAGAAAGAAAAGAAAAAAATGAGTCTGTTAATTCAGTCGGCACTTTTTCACCATTCAAGTTGTTTAATACAGAAGCAAACTTTCGATTCGAAGATTGAAAGTAAGAATTGAATAAATTGTTTATTGCTTTCAGCGAAGTTTTTCATGAGAAATTATTTTTTCTCAGTACCAACATTTTGTCTTTGAGGAAAATAAGTTTGATCAATGCATTGTGCTACCAAAAATCAGAATCTTATTTCAAGACTCACAAGAATATCAAAGACGTTATACAAAAAAAAACAAGATCTATTCAATTGTCTTGAAACTATTGAAAATAAATATGTACAGACGGCATCCTAGGTAGTGGATTTCACGGAATCAAGTAAATTTTATATTTTCCTTGTTATCAGACAAAAATCTTTTTTACAAAGTAAATCCCATATATCATCATTCATGAATCTTTTCCGATGAAGAATTTACTCTTGTCATAGGAAATCGAAGACTAGAAAACCAAACATTCATGTTTCTCTAGGTTCTCTTCAATGCCTTCAACCCTCTTTTGCCTTTTCGTATCGAGATTTATTTTTATTTAGAAATACTTTCTAATTGTGTCATTCTTCGACTTTGATTGATGAGAATGTGACTAGATGTGGGTCAGAAAGATGTCCAGAAACAATTGAGATAATACATTGGTCTCGATCGAAAATGTTCTGATGATTTTTTTTTTATTGTATTGAAAGAAATTTATTGGTTGTAAATCAATGCATATTTGTGTAGTCTGTCGTCGTATCATATAGATATTGCTTTTTATGTTTCGTGAGTCACACATAAAATAATCAATGGAGTACTTAAAGATAATATTGAATTACTTTCAGATTTTTTTTTTTATTCTTCCATGCTCACAGAACGTAAAGTATCTCTATTATATTCTAATAAGAACATGTTACCTCTTGTACAAGTGGAGAAAAGCCCTAAACATCATTCGAAATATGAAAGCATCTTTGTATTCGTTTTTTTTATCAGAATTCATCATATATCTGATGAATCCACAATCTTTATGTCGACCATAAGTCAGTACAGATTAATAATAAAACTTTCGTGTTGTTTTCAAAAGACGTATCATGACAGTTTCTGCACGCTTCCGTAAAGCTTCATCTGCTAACTTGTCCGAACTTCTCGAAGTGTCATCCTGGATCAGGCACCAGACTATTACATGCATTGAGTAGACCTCTATGAGTAATGAATTACTCTAAATGGACAACTGCACATAGTGTATTTCTGCACAACCAAATGAATTTCTACTCATTTTTTCCTCTATGATTACTGTTTAGCAACAAAATCATATTTTCGATTTTTGGTTTAGAACTTTGGCAAAATACGTAACCTCAACTAGACTAGTTTACATTTACTTCAATATCAAGAATAACAACAAAAAACTATAGTCAAACGTTATTCTGAGAAGAGCTACAAAAGATACATAATTCTTTTTGTTTTGGTTACTCGATTTTAATTATCATGAGGATAAATTTGCCATTCTCAAGCTAAAATTTCTGTTCGCATTAAATGCGATGAAGTGATAAAAATACAGAGGACAATATATACATTTCCCGGCATGCCAAAGAACCTATTGATTTGCGGGTGTAAGTTTAGGATTTCTTTTTACTAACGAAGTCATTCACGCCCTTCATATGTATGAACAATTATTTCTTATATTCTTTTTTTTTCTATCGAGCAATAATCACCGTCTTTCTTAATTGATCGATGTAAGTCACGCAAAATGATAATTGCATGATATATGCACATAAGATTAAAATTGAATCGTGTCTTACCAAAGACATCAGTAAGTTTATTTTTCAACTAGAAATGATGATCAGATGCTGAGCATGAGTAGCTCACTTAAATCGTAACTAATACGTCGAGTAGTAGATAAGTCGGTGCTGTATTGAGTGTAATCAACCGCTTAATAAAATGACAACATGATGGAAGTGAAGTGTAATGAATAGAGGTTTGCATAATCGAAAAATTTGATTTAAGAACTATAACAGTTGAATAGAGAGGCATAATTTTTATCATGAAGCATATGAATACTGGCGACATCAAAAAAGAAAAAGATTTGCTTGGTTTAGAAGCAATTATTGTATATATATCTTAGCAACCATTTGTTGTTATAGCAGGTCACTGGTTAATATCATTCAAAACATACTGAAGAACTTTAATTCTCTACAATGACTGATAATATAAAATGTGTTAATTGTCGATCGATGGCTAATTTAATGATACATCGACAACATTCACATGGTTTATGTGATGGTTTCCCGACGATTTTATTTTATGCTCGTGAAATGCAAAAATTAGCTCAAGAAGTTCAACCATATAGTAGAGAACATCGTATCGAATTAGGTGATATTGAATGGAAAGTATTTCCTGATAATTGGCCAAATATTTTTATTCGTAATTCTGAACAAATTCGTAATAGTCATGTTCTATTCTTAGCTTCATTTCATAATCCACAAACCATTTTTGAACAAATTTCACTTCTTTATCATTTACCAAAATATCTTTGTCGTTCATTAAAAATTCTTTTACCATATTTTCCCACGGGTACAATGGAACGTATACAAATTCAAGGTGAAATAGCTACAGCTTATTCACTTGCACAAATGCTTTCATCAATTCCACTAACACGTACTGGCCCATGTGAAGTTGTTATATTTGATATTCATTCATTACAAAATCAATTTTATTTTTCATCAAACGTTATTGTTCGTCTTGAATCAACAGTTGGATTATTATTAGATGAATTAAATAAACGAGAAAATAAAAATGAAAAATTTGCTATTGCATTTCCAGATGATGGAGCTCATAAAAGATTTGCTCATATGTTTGAAGAAAATAAGTATCCAATTGTAATTTGTAGTAAAATTCGAGAAGATGATAAACGTATTACAACTATCAAGGAAGGTTCGTTTTAAATTTTCTACATAAAGATATTAAAATGTAAATAATTTTTTTCTTTCAAAGGTAATCCAACAGGTTATCATTGTATTATTATTGATGATTTAGTACAATCAGGTGGTACACTTATTGAATGTGCACAAGCACTTTTAAAAACTGGTGCTGTGAATATATCTGCTTTTGTTGGTCATGGAATATTTCCAAATGAAAGTTGGAAAAAATTCATTCATTCAAATAATCCAAAAGTTCATTTTGATACATTTTATGTAACAAATACTTATCCAAATGTACAAGTATTAATTGGTAAACCTCCATTTAAAGTAATTTCTATTGCCAAACTTTTATACAATATTTGTTTCAATTGAATTCAAAACTCTTTTTTTTTTCTTCAAATAAAAAACAATATCTTTTTGATTAATATATGTAGCACATTTATATTCATCTGCACTGAATAGTTTTATATCTCAAGCATTTTGAAAGAAAACATGAAGCATCATTAAATTATATACAATAATTGACCCATATACTGTTGAATGATATTGCAAATGAACGGAAGAAAACATATGCAGATCCACTCTTTTTTAAACATATGGATCTAGATTTTAGAATAGATAGATCTTGACGTATAGAGCAAAAGTTGTCAGAGATTCTAAGTTCTTAAATGCTTTTTTCTAAGAAATATTGGAGTCGCTACGACTAAAAATACCACTGCTTCAGGGTTGCCACCTCTTCCGCTTTTTTTCCGCTCTTCCGCTATTTTCCGCTTTTTCACATAAAAAAACCATCTTTGTGTAATTGAAAACTTCGGCACACAAGATGCTAGATAACGTGCTGTTAGACGAAAATTTCTTAGAAAATAATTTTTCAATGTATAATTTTATCAAATTCTTGAAAAATTTTCGCTTCGCGTAATAGATTTTCCAGTATTTTTTTCTATTAAAACAAATTTCCGCTTCATTTTGGCTTCCAATATGGAATACATGCATCTTGATTTCAAATGCTATTGAATAAAAGAAAATTTATTTCGAATTCTTGTTCATTTGTTAACATAACAGATAACAGCGTATCGACATTCGACGACTGAATGTAAAAAAACAACACTTTCCTCTTCTCTTTGTGAAAAGCGAGCTTTATTTTTTGGATGGCATGTTTTTCGGGTAAATCTTTTAGTTTGTGTGCCAAAAAGGAGCCGCCTTCGGCGGCTATATGTCGAAAAGAATATATATATTTTCTACTATTTCTCTGAAAAATGAGTTTCAGTTTTTTCGATTGGATGCTTTTCGCAAACTTGTATAGTGCTGTATCAAAGAAGAACCGCTTTCGGCGGCATATTCTTGGCAAAAAATACTGAATTGATAATCACAATACCATCATTTCACCCTCACAATAAGAACATCTTTTGGAAAATAAATATTTTCGCTGCGAGGCACTTTGCGAACAGATGCGTACAAAAAGAGTGAAGAGAACAGATTTTTATTTTTGCACCGGATATTTGTTACCCCTTCTTCTTGGGTTTGGGGGCCAGGTACACTACTGACATTTTTTATGGGTTATCTATTATATTGTGGAATTGCTAATAAAGAAGTACCATGAATAGAAGAACATGGTTGTTTAAACTCTTAGAAATGTGAAAGGCTAGAAAAAAGTAGCTTTTCGCTTTTTTCCGCTTTTTCGATTTTTGTTTCCGCTATTTTCCGCTTTTTTGATCAAACTTTCCGCTTTTCTGACCTTATGAGGTGGCAACCCTGCATGCTTGCTCAACTTCACAACATCAGATAGAACTGAAATTTTCTTTTTATAGATAATAGACACCCTTTGGAATGTTTAATTTTTGGTTTATTTTTATCTCCTAGTATTCGAAAAAAACATGTTTAGTTCACTAGAATTTCTTTCGTAAAATCTGGGCAAAATCGATGATACAATTTTTTTTAGAAGAAACAAAAGTAGGCACTGAAATCAGTGCTCAGTACCTGTAAAAACAGTTTTTAGTCGATCGAACGTATCAATGTCAGAAAAACGGGAGCAAATATGCACCTTTTTTGTGTAAAATTTGATTTCCAGAAAAGCTTGAAACAAATTTTCTTGTATGTATCACAGCTTCTTTTTTTTTACAATTAAAGCGATGGAAAACTGACCATGTTCAGCAGTGCTATATGTATGCAACCTATGCTCTAAGCATTTTTAGAATGATAAATAATCATTATTATGGAGAGCGTTTCGTAAACAAAGACTAATTACAACGCAAGTCGGGTGTGGATGTGAATCTTGTTTTTGCTCATACTCCATTTAATCTTTAAAAAAGTAAAAACCGAACTTTGTCATAATCGAATGGCTTGTGTTAGTTTTATCATGGTAGATGGGATTTAGAACAGATGTTCCTTTTTTTTATGAGGTTTGATAAAATCCAATGCAAGTTTCGTCGCAATAGAAGACAAAGAAGAAACGATGTCGATAAGACACATCGTAGTACTGATTTTTCTTTGTTGTGTTGTTCAAGCACGAATATCGCCGAATCATGATGATTCTATTTACAAGATCGTTGGTTGTATGCCGGGTAAATTTCATACCTGCGCGATTAGCGACATATTTGTATTATCCGACGAAGCAACAATTCTATCGATTGTTAACATTAATAATGCTGGTCCATGGAGCTTATCTACACCGTACTTGGAATTGATGAACCGAAATGGATCAACCGTACAATTTAGTACATCAATTATTGGTGATACGAGTGGTCAGTGTAGTTTTGGAGCTAAATTCATCCCATACTACAACAACAGCCAAGGTAAAGAGGATGATATAATGAATAAAATTGTAAGAGCAATACTATAGAATTGAAAATTAAAAATTGTTCATTCATTAACGGAAAACTTTGGAATAGAATATTTGAAAATAGACTTCATTTCTAGAAAACAAGACTATTCAGATTTCAAAATATTTGTCTTAAACATCCTATTGTATTTGTTTTCGTTTTTGTAGGCAATGCTGTCGTTCTGATGTGTTCATCATTTACTTTTCCTGGTGGTGATACAGTCTTTTTTCGACTGAAAATTGATCCTTTAGCATCAAATATCACTCCTATTGGCAGTCCATTGATATTCCATTCTGAAAGTTCATTCGCAAGATTTTCATCCCAACCAGTAACAATCAATAACGATGTGTATTTTCTCTTAAATTCCTATCCTTCAGGTTCCAACAATTATTCTGTTGGCCGTTTAAATTTGGTTGATTTCACATTCGAAACATGGCCAATAGTGCATTCATCAAATTCGGCAATATTTCTAGATCCGCATACGGGTACCTTTTCCAACGTTGCTCATATCGACAAATTACTTTTTTCTGTTCCGTGTTCATCTCAAGATCTATCAAGTTCTATACCTGAGATGCTATGTACATACAAATATTCGAGTGAAAAAAAATTCATTCTTATCGGGATGAATCCAATTCCGAATGCAAGAAGTAATCGAAATCTGTATTTGTACTCTCCAGAAGAACAACAATGGGGTTTGACCATTACAAGTGATCCGGTTACTTGGTCAGTTTTGATTATGAACACACAATTTACATCACCAACTAATTCTTCTCGTGATTTGATTTACGGAGCCATATTAAACGATACAGATGTTATTTTAACATACTCCATATCGGCTAGCATTTCACAAGTGAGAAATAGCTGTTTCTATCTAGCTACAGCACATAGTCGAACAAATGAACTAGTCGTACAACAGTTGAAATTTGGAGAAGCTTTTAAAAGAACACCGACCATAGTTGTCGATTCAATCATCGTATCACAAATGACAACTAACTTCGCGTTGACAATCTTATTTGCAACTAAAAACTATCTGTTCGTCTTGGATGAGTTGAATATTTACCGATATGCTGCAGAATGTTGATTGTGTTCTTATTTCCAATAAAGAATATATGAGACCACCACATTTTTCCTTCAATATTCAGTGTAGGTGTATAATGGGTGGGCTATGGGCGTACCTGTTGCTATGGATGTTGGTCGGCGAGGAGAAGGTCCACATCTACACCCAATTCCATAGGATTCAAAGAGAAAAAAGTCTTGTTTTGAGAGTTTCAGTGTAAAATAATCCGAAAACAACCAAAAAGTCTGAAAGAGTAAAAACAAAGTCTAACAAGAATTGGAAAAAATCTATTAAAATTCGAAAATTCATAGAATTCCAACGTCGGTACTTCCTTCAGTCGACTTTTAAATCGAAACTGAACCCACACAAAGCTTTGACTTAGGCTGGGGCATGTGGGAAATTGGAAAACCTTTTATTGAGTTCGAGTTCTAAAGTTTGACAAACTTAGGCAGAGTAGTCTACTCTACAAAATTTATGCGTTGTCTAAATTGTATTTTTTGATAAAATTCAAATGAAATAATGTCCTGACATTTATCAAAGAACATTTTCTGATTAGAAATCCCGCTACGACAATGATAACTTATAACTAAACTTACAGAATGTACATATCAGTATTTCCAAAAATAAAACGAAATCGAATGGTCTAACACACAACTCAGTCTTATTATATTTTCTATAGGGCCTCGCTTGCAAAAAGGAATATCCAACGAAAAAGAAACGCAAGAAATATGACAAAACTAACAATAAGGACGTGATCACAATGATGCGTAATTTATTTCTTCAACTATTTTGCTTATGTCACTAACAAAATATGTGAGTAACGGACACGGTCAATTCTAAATAATTTTGATCTAGTATATTTCGCCAGAAAAGTACGACAGAATAATTACAAATATCCTTTTTTAATGTTCATTCTATTTTTATGTTTATTCAAGTATAAGCCTATAGAAAAAAAACCTGTCTTTCACAATCTATTTCTGATTTTTCACACTTTTAACTCGCAGAAAAAAGGTGTTTTTTGACGACAAAAATCCAAGATCTTGATATTGAAATTAGTAGGGTATGAAGAGCTCACCCTATCCTACTGTCTACTCTACTTTACCCTGTACTGTGAACATTTCTGGTTTATGTTTCTTATAATGTCAGCATTCAATAACTTGCAACATCTGCCGTTGACGATTAACAGTAGATATTGGATGCGTACGTTGACGGTTAAGAGCAATGTCTTTCACCCGCTTGTTCGTGTAGAATAACATAATTATCATAACATTGGTAAAAAGCACTATTGAATTCATACTCAATAAATAAAATGACTCCGGTGGTGGACTTTTGACTTGTATCCCTTGCCAAAGGATAAGTATCAAAAGAGGTGCTTCGGGAGCTGCATAAAATGTCTCTATCATGATCATATTTTGTGCAAGTTTCATTTCACGTCTAGCATACGGTATATGAGTAGTCATAATATTGGATGTGGAAGGAACAATACGTTGAGATGATTTACGAGTATGATAGAATATTATACTATAAATAATCATGGAACTATTCAGAGGAATAATAAATGCAATAGTTATAGCATATATGGACAGGAAGAAATTTTTAGATGTGAGGACGCAAAGATGTGATTCTTTTTCATATATGAAACTACCATCAAAGAAAAATGGTACAATCGAGACCAAAATACTAATAATCCAGTTCAAAGCAATCAAACGACAATGAACACAATAAGTAGCAAGATATCTATGTTTGAAGAAGACAGTGAAGAAGAGACGACTGACAGCTTGAATAACATACCAGTAGCTAATAGATGCGGGCATCGCGAGAAATAAAAATGCTCGAACAACACATCCCGGCTGTTGGATTGTCCAATCTTCATGAAAACCATAGATAGATGAAACGATATTGCAGATGTAATAGGCTGCCAGGAGTACACTCGTATTACAAGTAGCAAGACTGGCAACTGTGCGACATGTTCGATGAGCAGCAATGATCACAATCATGATAAGAGCAAAGATCAAACCAACAGTCGACACTACAATTGAGAATGAGAAATCGATAATGAAAAATAACTCAGAGAGCATGTAAGCGATGAAAGCATTTTTAATAAAATACTGTAAGAAGTGCAACGACCGGTACCATGTGTTTTTTTGTTTGCGTGTTTCCATTTTTGAAGAGATAGATACAAAATGATGACAGTCTTACATCTGAATATCTACATTTTTTAAAAACTATCATCAGTGCTTTGTCATGCGTCTGACAACATCACAGTCTATTAGTAACGACTCTATAAACTGAAAATGAAGCAATGCAAGTTGACATACTATCCAACCATAAACTAACAATATTTTCTCTATCTATCAAACGACAGAAATAACATTAGAACAAACGATGGATATGAAGCAAGAAAGACTATAGTATGTGAGGTGCGAATGAAGAGATGAATCAAACACCCACACCCACACTCTTATGTTTTCTACGCTTATGTGTCGATTTTCGTGATTTGATATATTGATTTTTTCGTTCATCGTTCGAAGTCGATAATTATTCAAGGACCTCATGATCATTTGACGTGTGAAACAATTGGTTTATTTATGTTTGAATAATATTTGTTAAAATTATTATCTTTTTGAATAATGCAATCGAATTATTTATACGTAAATTCGATGTTCATTATGCAAAATTATTGATGAAATACAACCTCATTATATGTATAGCTATTTTAAATTTAATCAAGAGTATTAACTGCTTTTCCATGAATGATATGCTTATTATGTTGTGGAAGACTCAAAGATTGATCTATTTTCTATTTATTTAAATAAAAATTGAATGAATCTTTCGATATGTTACCACGATTTATTAATTAATATAATGTTCATTGAAACATATCTCTTATCATTCAGCTTGCTGCACATACACAGATAAGACGTATTCTTCTTTCCTTTCGTATACATTCATCTCTATATATTCTATTTAATTACGTTTTATTCGTTCTTAAACTCTAATTTGTCCACATAACATTCCCCTGTTCAACATCATCTTCATTATCATCAACTTCCAGCTGCCGATATGCTCGGCAGCATAACCAATGCCCCAACTACCCAACCTCCCCCTATCAACAACACAATGACACAGGATCAACGTTCTTTCAACTCTTCAGTTAACTCTTCTGATCTTCGAAATCACCAACAACATCATGTTTTTTTACATCATCCTGCCATACCTCATTTTGGTATGACGGTTACCGATGCAACATGTTCATCGAATACAATTAACACCACCCTTCAACAACCACTGTTCAACTATCCTGGTTTTACAACCAACCATCATCATCTACCAATGCCAATGAATGTCACTGAACATGACCAACACTCAGTGACATCTTTTCTATCTCATCCAGCTAACACGAACATGACTCATCACCATATTAATCATCACCAACAATCTCTTAATAATGTTACACCATTGGATAGTGACAATGAAAATCATTTCACCTTAGTAAAAAGAAAAAAAAAAGAAAACAAAAATTGATCGTGTACTCAATGAAACACCTTCATCTTGTTCATCATCATCTTCTTCATCATCATCTTCTTCATCAGTTAGTACTGCTAACTCAACTTCATCAACTAACACCAATAGTATTATCTCAAATGTTCCTGCACCTAATCCAATTCGTATACGAATTAAAACAGGTAACAATGGTGAAGTTAGGGTGGTTGGAAATTCTACTGAAATAACACATGAAGCTCGTCGTTTCGCTGAAACAAGATTTGCTTTTCCTCCTTTCATCGTGAAATTCAACCAAGATGTTGATGAAAAACGTATTATTAAATTTATTTCTTCTCATTACTTCGCCAATTTTGATTTTAATTTGAAATTGGCTGGGCATCGACTTAAAGGTAAACGAGATTTGTTATTATTTCCTAATGATCGTGATACATTTTTGATCTTATTCAACGAACATAATTGGCCTGCAACAATTGAATCACTTACATATGAAAAAATTTTACCTAATCATTTACCTGCTCAATTTTCTATATTACTTCGAAGTGTACCAACTCATCTTGATGTTTCTGCATTATTAGCTTCTATACAAAACGACTATCCTGATGTTATTAATGCATTTCGAATTAGTAACAAGAATAAACTTCCTACTACTTTGGTTAGACTTGATATTAAAAATATAAATGTTATAAATGATTTGCTCAACAAAAAATTCTTATATGTTGATAATATTCGTTTTGCAATTACTGAATAGCTTGCACCTGCCAAGGTCTTGATTTGCTCCAAATGTTTTCAGGTAGGGCACTTTAGGAGCTCATGTAAAAATCCTTTAGATTTTTGTAAATTTTGTGGTGCTGGTGTGGACGATCTTAATCAACATAAATTAAATTGTGATAAAAAATTAAATTGTTTAAGATGTAAAGGTGAACATGATGCAAATGATATGAGATGCCCTATTATTACAACCTATAGATCTGCACTTACGAAATCCTTTCTTACTACAGCTGGCGTTAACGATCATCCACAACAGAATCAAACAAATCAAACAAATTATTGGTTTAATAATAATGATTATCCTGTTTTAAACAAAAAAAAATTCTACTAATCATCATCATTATTCAGTCAATAACATAGCCAGCGATGCTGGTAAAAAAATCGAAGAACTCTTTCTCAAAATGAATAAAATTGAAGAAAATCTAAATAAATTATTAGACTTAAATAATAATTATTCTGATCAACTTATTGGTTTACAGCAGGTGGTTATGAATCACACTCACGATTTACACTTACAGCAAATTGATACATCATTTCAACGTGATTTTATAAACCAGTTTGTGTCGCCGTTATGTCAAGTAATGGTGGAAGTAATTCCTACACTTGTAAAACAAAATGTCTTAAACGACAAAACTCTATTTTGTCCTTCACTTGCTGGTTTATGTACCAAACTTGTTAATGATTTACCTGGTTGGACAAATAGATTTTTGCAAAACGAGCAGTTCAAATCTAAGCTTATCAACGATCATAATCGGAAAACCCAACACCCTTCTGACCCATCAACCAGCAAGAAAATCCATCCCCCTTCATCGACTCTATAACCGATTCTACTTCTTCATTTGTTCTATCCCCTTTCGCGCGTGTGTTTATCCCACCACAACATGTAAACAAAAAAACCTTTGATATCGATTATGCTCTTTCATTGACCTCTCCGTTGTTATCTAAATTTGACTTTAGTTTATTAACTGAGATTTGTTATGAATGGTTTTCCTTTCCTACTCTTTCTTCTTGTTTTTCTTCTTGGAAGTCTTCTGATCAAGTACGTACCCACGCACTCTCTTCGCAATTACGTGTACTTCTTTTTAATGTTAGGGGATTGGACGAAAGGTGGGAAGAGGTCCTTCTCCTGCTGGAAAAATATAAAATAGATTGTGTTATTCTATTAGAAGTAGGTGCTTTTCATCTCCCCTTAGTAAATCGAATTTTTGTTAATTTCAAATCCTTCTATCAAAAGGGTGAGAATGCGTGGGGTGGAGTGTTGATGTTATTTAAAATGAGTCTACCGGTAGTACGTGTTGAATGTGATACCCCGAACATATGCGTATTAGACGTTAAACTCGAACAACCTATTCGTCTGATTGGAATTTATGCCCCTAAGAGCAAATCCTGGGATTGGAATATCCTGTCCAATTACATCACCGACTCCTGCAGTCTGTTTGGTGATTTTAATATCGACCTAGACAGTAAAGCCGATGAATTGGCAGCTAAGAATCTTCTTGATTGGTCCTTATCTCGTGCCCTTACTCCAATTACACCTAATATACCCACGTCTCTTCGTTCTGATCGTACTATTGACTATGCGTTTACGCGTGGTATCCCACTTTCAATACAGGCTTGTACGGATAATACAACTAGTGATCACAAGCCTCTAGTAGGGGTACTGGAGTGCGAAAATAAAGAGAATACGTTAGGTAGTAACACACACTGGAAAGTCTTCCATTATTTTCTCGCGCTCACTTCAGAATTTTGGGAGAATGAAAATAGAATGTCTCCATCTGAAGAGTATTACACGAACTTTATTACACTCCTAGATTGTTTAAAAGCCCGATGTACTACATATTTTCCGATAAAGAAGTATCGAATAGCTATTCCAAAAGAACTTAGGCTGAAATTATCCTTTGTGCGAGCTTTATCATTTCAACACAAAAGAACCGGTGACGTACTACTGCATGCGAAAATTAAAGAATTAAGGAGACTTAATAAAATAGAACTAGCCGCTGTACGTTGCACCAAACTATCTAACACATTAAAAGAAAGATTTTCGTCGTCTTCTTCCGCTAATCTTTTTTGGTCTAGACTGAGAAAAAATTTTAAAACGACCAGATCTCTCGATGCTTTTATTGATTCCAACAACGTGGTCGTTAAAGATACTGATGCTATGTTAGAACTAGCTGCTTCACATTATGAGAATCTTTTTTCTCAATCTCATGTCTATCGTCCACACCCCTATGTTGATAGTCCTGACTGCCGTTGGGATAATTATTATGAACCGATACCTCCAATCTCTATGTCTGAACTTTTAAAAGTAACGTCGAAAGTAAAGAAAAAGCACTCGATCGATGCACATGGAGTATCTTCATTTATGCTTCAATATATTCCGAATATATACATGAAACCTCTACTACAAATATTCAATGATTCATTCGTTAGCTTTTCTACTCCTTCCTATTGGAAACATGTCAAAATGAAACTCCTAGCAAAAAAAGAAGCTATCTGTGCAGTCAAGGATACTCGCCCGATTTCACTGCTAGATATTTTTCTGAAAATCTTAGAGCGGCTATTCCTAAGCCGTTTTCAATGTGTTCTTAAAGATAGAGGTTTACTGCATGATTCTCAATCGGGATTCAGATCAAATTTCAGACTACAATCACGAGTACTCAATTTGATCGATCAAATTGCTTCACTAATGTGCACGAGTGCACCTGTTGCAACAGTGTTTGTGGATTTCCGTCAAGCCTTCGACCAGCTATGGTGGGCTGGTTGTTTAGGCAAATTAACACGTCTCGGCATACCGATTTCGTATGTGAATTGGATTGATAGCTGGTTAAAGGGCAGGTTCGGTTTCATCGAGCTAGATAATAAACGATCTAGGTATTTCCCCATTTGTAGAGGAGGCCCCCAAGGTTCATGTTTAACTCCTGCGATTTTCATCACATATCATTCAGATATGTGGACCTTCCTGGAAAGTACCCTTCCTAACTTTTTTGCAGATGATCTAGCATGTGTAGTTGGTGGTATGTTGAATGCCAAATACACCACCCAGTGCCTTGACCTCGAAGTTAAGCTTAAAAAGTTATTCGACTATCTCGAATACTATTCCACTTTATCCCTCCAACCAATCAATTACGATAAAACTGAACTTTTATGGTCAGCTCGTGCCATTGGGAACCCCAAGTTCGACATATCCATGGGCGATCATAAAATTGCGTGGGTAAATAGCTTCCGTTACCTAGGTTACCACATTTCCTGTAAATTAGGATGGAGCAAAATGATCACCGTGTATAAGAGCAAAATTAAACAAAGAGTAGCAATTGTGAAATCTTGTCGCTTATACGGTTCTTCCTCCCTCGAATTTCGTAAAGTTCTTTTCTCCACTTATATTCTTCCCCTATTTACGTGGCTATTCAGTATATTCCCCCTATTTACCGATTGTCAGAGAGATGATCTAGGTCATTTCTATTTCATCTGTTTGAAAAGAACTCTTGGAATAACTTATTGGAATGACCTCCTATTTTCTTATCTACTCAACGAGAAGTCCCTAGAAAGTAGATGCTTATGTTATTGGAAGAGATATAGAACCCATCTGAATAATTCAGTTGACGGTTCCCTACTCTTTGAGCAGCTTACCTTAAACTCGCTTCGCAACCAATGGTTGAATAGAGAGTTCGTAATAAAATTTATATACAGATCAGAAAGACTAGTGCCTTTTATCCCATCTATAGTAAAATGCCTCAAATGGATGGAGGATTTTGATGTTTCGACCTCCATTCCCCTCATTCCACCCGAAGATCTCCGTCTGCTATCACTATTTCCTGAATCATTTGTATGATTAAAAGGTATAGTGATGCGGCATGTTCCAGTCCTCTAGACCATTGTGGTTTTCCTTCTCTCTCATCCTTTCGTCCTATCTCCTGCGCCCTGAAACGAATGATCCCTATCCTTTTAAGTAACTAGTATAACAAGTTTTGTTTTTGTTCTTTTTTGTTTTTGTTTTCTTCTCTCTTCTTCTTTTTCTTTCTTCTTCTCGTCTTCTCTCATAATTGCCATTATCTCTTCTCTACTTTTGTTCTTGATGGGTGGTCGTGTACGTGGTACTCGCATTTTACAAATCTACTACGTTTTTGTGCGCGCCTTCTCACCTACCTTTGGCCTTTTGCTCTTATTCTCTCTTCTCTGCCTTAGACATAACTTGTTATCTTTTTAAATCCTGGTGTATTAACAGGCCTTCGGGCATTAACCTCTAATAAAGCACAAAAAAAATTAAAAAAAAAATCATTGAAACATATCTCTTATGTATTGGGTTGGTAAGAAAGTTTTGCGTCTTTTTTTATTATCTTAACACATTGCTGTAACTTTTTTATTTGATAAGCTATCGACTTGATTTAAGTGCCAACGGAAAGAATATTGTCTCGTGAGCAGTTATTTTATTCTTTTGGTTGGGTTTCATACTATTCCTGTTACAATTTGTGATGTAATGACTATGATGTCATATGACCATGAGGTCAGGTGGGTATGAGGTCATGTGACTACTACTTGTTCAATGTTGGAGTACATTCTGGAACTTTCTATGGTTTCTATTCCTCTTTCGTGAATGGGTTCTTGCGTAATGTTCTGGAATGTGCTATTTTCAACACTATATACGGTATATAGGCTGTTCGCTGTTACTCGTTCATTCTTTTCTCAGTTGTACAGTTAGATCGTTAGTTTCCACGTGTGAATAAACAAGCTCCTCAACTCGTGATTTCTGTTTCACATCGGACTCGGCCTGAAGACGTGACACCATTTGCTTTGAATTATATGGATGCACAAAAGCTTCACATTCAACACTGTATGTTGTTTGAATTCGACCGAGGACTCTCAGGAGCGGCAGCAGCAAAAGAAATCTGTGAGGTGTACGGCGACGGCTCCACTACCAAATCCACTTGTGATCGCTGGTACGCCAGATTTCGTTCCGGCGACAGGACCTTGACGGACCAACCACGTGAGGGACGCCCTTCGATCGTCAATGACGACGTCTTGGAAAGCCTGCTTGAGACGAATCCCCGGCAGACCACACGTGAACTTGCGAAGCAGCTAGGCTGTTCGCACACCACAGTCGAAAATCATCTTCATGCGCTTGGCAAGATCCACAAGTCTGGAAGTTGGGTGCCATACGAACTGTCCGCCAATGACAAGGTCCAGCGAGTTTCAGCTTGCGTTTCGCTTCTCTCCCGTCACCAGCAAAGCTCTTTTCTTGAGCGGATTGTCACCGGAGATCAGAAGTGGGTCCTCTACATTAACATCGGCCGCAAGAAACAGTAGTTGAACCCGGGGCAGAAGCCGTTGCCGGATGTCAAAGCGGATCTTCATCTAAAGAAGGTTCTCTTGTGTATCTGGTGAGACCTGAAGGGGGTAATTTACTAGGAGCTTCTCGACAACGCTACCATCACCGCCGAGGTCTACGCTCATCAACTACAGCGTGTCCAGGAAGCGCTGCTTGAAAAACGTCCAACGCTGATCAATGGAAAGGGTGTGATTTTGCTTCAGGACAACGCCCGGTTACACATTGCGAAGATAACGCGAGAAAAAATTCAGAAGTTGGGCTGGGAAGTCCTCCCTCATCCACCATTTTCCCCAGACCTGGCGCCATCAGATTACCATCTATTCCGCTCTCTTCGTAACCATCTAGCTGAGAAACGCTTTGAAGACTACGACACTCTCAATTCTGATCTCGCCGCTTTTTTTGACTCAAAAGAGCCAGACTTTTATAAAAACGGGATCGACCAACTGCCGAAAAGATGGACCACTGTTATTGATAATAACGGCGAATATATTATTGATTGAGGTTGTTTTGTTCTGTTGAAAAATAAATTTTGTTGTTTAGTAAACAAAAAAAAGACGCAAAACTTTCTTGCCAACCCAATAGTTATACATTTGTTGCCAATGAAATCAGCTGTGCATTATACTGAAGTAATAACTTTTTTCATTAAAAGAGAATTTATTTTGACTATAATAATTTACTTTAGATTGAAAAAATGAATTAATTTATCAACAAAAAATTCGATTCATAGTGCATTAAAATAAAATAAATTTCTAATTTGTTTCCATTAAAAGAAAATAATTTTTTAATGATTAAATTTTGTTGTGAAAAAAAGTTAAACAGATAAAAGTTAGTCTTAAATTAAATTATTATAAACTGGGCATTTTTCATTAAGTAATATATTGTTAAACATTAAACTCAAAATTAAAAAGATGAAATTATTAATTATATATTTGACTTGTATTAAATTAAAGTAAAAGAAATTTATATTTATTTGTCAAGATTTTTTTAAAATACTTGAAAAATGTTAATTAACTGTTTTGTTTTTCTTCGTAATCATTTTATATCATGTAAATCTTATTCTGAAGAAGAATATTGAATTTGTAGTACATGAAAACTAAAATAAATTTATATTTATTTAGATTAAAACAAAGTAATTTTCACCGTTGCTGAGTGTTTTTGCGAAAAAATCTTAACGAAACAAATATAAATCTGCTTTAGTTTAATTTAATACAAGTCAAATATATGTAATAAATAATTTAATTGAATTTTAAGCTTTATGTTAAAAAAAAGATCTGATAAAAAAGTATTTATTTTATAATAATTTAGGCTGAAATTCATTTATATTTATTCACTTTAACATTTCTATACACGAAAAAATTTAATAAAAAATCTTTATCTTTATTTTTAGAATATTACTTTTCATCTTCATTTGGTTTATTTACTAACAATTTACATTAAATTGAATTTTAATTTTGTCTTACGATAAAATCTTTTCATTTTAATTATGAAGTTAAGTTTTTAGAGTGTGGAACGATCAAAATTATTTTAATGCATATTATAATTATTTTTGAAATTTTGTTTTTGCTATTATTTAAACACATTCCTTGTTATAAATGGTTGCAAATATAAAAAAATAAAAAGATTTGGAAATACGAACTGAATTTTTTTATGTAAAATAATTTTTTAAAATTTTTATCAATAAATTCAATATTCATGAAAAAGCATACTAATATACCTTTGAACATAGAACAAAAGCTTCTTTTAATCAAAAGGAATCTTGATATATCCTCAAATATAAAATAAAATATCCTTTTCGTGAAAAGATAGAATACTAAACCCTTGGCCGTAGAGTAATAAATCCTTTTCATGAAAAGGTAGAATAATGAACCTTTTCATGAAAGGGTAGAACAATAAACCCTTTTTCTCAGAAATCCTTTTGCACAAAAACCCTTTAAGGGTTTAACACTCCAGCATAAACCCTTTAAAGGTTTAGGAAGACTTTCCTAAAGTACTAGGATTGATTATTCTACGATTTTTTTTTACAGTGCACACCTACACCCAGCCACACCCTAATAAAAATTTTTACTTTGGAAACATTTATTCTCTATTGACGGCTAGTTTTTCGTGTTAAGTCTATGTGCCATCACGCGATTTCATGTGCCTCTACAATAGTATCCATATTTTCCCTTAATTTGTTTGTTTCCCTTAAACGGTTACCACAAGCCGGAAAAGATCCAGAGAGACTTGCAAAATCCGGAATGTTTTCGAAAAATTCGGAAGAGCTGTCAACTTTGCCTTTTATACTAGCATCGATAAAATCACTGATAAAATTTATATAGTTTAATATGCTGGTACGAGCCGTCGAGCACAAGTAACAATACACGATATGAGATCCATCAATTAGACTATATTTTTCTTTCCCTATCAAACTCAACAAAAAATCTGTTTTTCATCGCGCTTACCCACGCAGACAGATAAATGGCATAAATGTTGTTTTGACACATTAATGATGAAAAGTGAAGAAAAAACTGCTTTAAAACTCGTTCACTCGACAAATAAAAGAAATCAATGAGTGTAAACGAGTTTTTTTTGCTGATAACGCATCTTCACGGAGTTCACGAGAATATTACGTCAATGAACGTGTTTTAACGTACAAAATAGATAGATTAGACAAATAAATGCGTTTTAACATCGACATTCATTCATTTTAACAAGTTAAGGCATTCAGAATGAATATAAGAATAGTTGCTCGTTATAACTGAATTATATAACATTATTGTCAAAAAAAAACAATATATTTCAAGTAAGGCAAACAGCTATGAATTTATTAATGCTAAGTACTTCCACTTCGATTGGGATACTGAAAAAAAACATAGAATTAGGAATAGGAGGAAATTTGACATTAATTCCACGTCGAAAAGCAAGCTTTTGAATAATACAATCTAAACTAGTAACTTCTAATGTTGTTCCATGATATGTTCCATATAATACGTTAGTACATTTATATATTCGATGATTTATTGACATGGTGTCTGCTGTTGCAAGTAAACTGACTGGTCGAATAACAAGAACTGGTTCATTACCATTATCAAAAGAAATAATTGTTTCCAAAAAACCAATTGCTGGTATATTCTTTCTATTGTACATTAAACACCCATCATGTGTCCTTCGAAAAATATCAATACGATCAGATGTGAATCGTTGTTGTTCAACAAATACTGTTTTATATAGATTGTATGATTGTCCACCAGTATATTTAGTCACAAATTTTTTAACATCAGGAGCTAGTGAACCTAGATGAACCTTTTTGTGAAATCGAGTAATATGTTGATTTAGGTGCGACAATCTTGAAGGAATTGCATATCTCGTACTAGCATTAATTTGATAATCAAATATTTTCAGTTCAGATGGTAAAGATGAATCAGATGTGGCTAGCCACGTTTGCTGTAAGAGATCCAAGTTTCTTAGCAATTCAATTGTTGGACTATTTCCACTGTGAATTAATCGAGTGAGTGTACCTGTATCAAAAGATAAGGAAAATGAGAATATAAATATATAGTTTGTTGCTTAGAAATAATTTTATTAATTCGCATTTATCGTTTAATAGCTGGAGAAACAGCTTATTCAATGTAAATATTTTATGACAGCAATAAATCGCAGAAATTATATGAAGGAAGAAATTTCTATTTCAATATATTTAAGACAATTAATGAAATACTATATATATATGTTATTCAAAAATATCTCTCAATTCACTATAGAATTTATATTATTACTAATGATGAACACTGATAGTATTGCTATTGAAGTGAAGTGATGCAGCAAATATTATTTTTTATCCAGTTTAGCGTCGGATAGTCATCCCGAAAGCGAACAGAATAGAACAAGATGAAGATGAAATATAATTAAGTGACAATAAATAATGATGAGATTTTTCTATCAACATAAAGATCTTTCGTTGTATTAGTATTAATATTTCACTCCATATATAGCATCCATTTTTTTCTGATGAGAAACCAAATTTGATTTAATAATTCTTGAATCTGAATAACTTATCCATTCGGTTTAGTATCTACTTTCAGTATTCTTCAGCTTTACATAAATCTCATAAAATATTGAATATACTTACCAATTGTAGCTTCAAATTCAAAAGTGGAATATCGAAAAGCTGGTCCATAATTTCTAATACTATCTGCAAAATGATTTAATGCGTGAATAACAGGCTTTGCTTGCTGTTTCTATAATAATAACCGATGAGAATGTACTGTTAGGACTAATATACTATTAGTCTAAATGCGTATGCTAAGAAAAAATTACATCTATAACTTTACCGTATATAAAGATTCAAATTTTCTGTTAAATTCTTCTAAAAGACTTCGTACATCCTGATGTGTAGCAAGATCAATTTTTGATGATTCAATTAAGTGAGCTGCAAATGCTAAACAACGGAAGTGATCATATCTTTGTTCATCCAAGACTTGATCGAATGCACTGTAAATAAAAATGAAATAGGATGATAATATAAATAACTGAATTGGGCATGACTCACTTATATCCAAATAGCAACAACATTTTATATTCATTCGCTTTGTATATATTGTATTGCTTTAAGTCTCGTGGAACTCTATACGTAGTAGATGGATATGAAATTGATTTAACTATTGCTGATACAGCATCTGTAGCATCTCGTATACTCATTTCTGGAGTAATTCCAGTTTTTCGTGAAACACTATCAAAAAATATATGCAGCATACGAGCCTAAATATGTTTAAATTTTACTACAAATGCAAATAAACTCTGAAATTGAACTTTTTACCATTACACCTTCATAAAGTGTATGAAGAGTATCTGATAAAAAAGATTGATAAACGTCAAAATATTTTAATGTGCGTAATTCGCACGGACCACGCAATCCGTCTAATCCGTCATTAATGGATGTGATAGAATTACGTCTTTCCTCGCTTGATGATCGCTATAAAATAAGCAAAATTTTGTGAAAATATCAATAGAGAGCTTATAAACTATTTTCTCCTTACTTGTAATAGTGCAACAGCTTCATCATATGTATCATTCGATCGTAATTCAAAATCATCATTATCATTCTGCACGAATACTCGAGCATTATCACCACCAATCTTTATGTTCTCACCTTAAAAAGACAGAATCATTTAGTTTGTGAATATTTTTCGTACTTGTATCACAAAAAACTACTATTAAAAGTCATATTTTCAATTCATTTTCTTTACCAAAACAATATGCAATTTATTAATTTAAACATTACACACCTATTATCTTACAATGAATGCAGCCATAGTAACCACCAGCTTCTGTATGATTAATAATTAACGATGTGGCTGGCCTATCACACGTAGCTACTATGACAAATACACGAATAGTTTGATCAACACAGTTAGATGAAGAAATGGGTGTGTATTGAAGACCAATTCGTTCAAGTTGTGTAAGTTCTTTTACTAGATGTTTCAAAAATATTTGCATTTCGCTTTTATTTGGTTTTACAGAGCCCACGGATATTACCGAAAAATTTTAGAGAAAAAATAACTTCTAAAAAGTAAATCTTAAACGAGACAAATATTATAATTTAAGTATTTTTTAACAACTCTTTTTCTGTACAAAAAAATTTAAATAGATGTCGCAAGCCAATAGTCATTTATCGTATTTGTGTTTCTATGCATTCATATCATTGGATATAAGCATTGTTCTTTCTTTCTGTTTCTTCATGTCTTTGTTCCCTTGTGTCTTTCTTTCTTTGTTTCCTTGTCTTGACATTACATAAGCTTGCAACAATTGTATCATGCAGTCATTTTTAAATTGTAATCAGGAAGAGAGGATTGTCGACACTTTTGCTGTTGAGGTACTATATTTCCATGAAAAATGTTTTGAGTGAATTAAACAAAATAGAATTTTTTAAAGAAATGAATAAAATGAAAATATTTAATTGACTATTAATAGAATCATCTTCGCATGAAATGAATCAGATCTATTTATATGAATAAAAAGAATATGAATTTATTTTAGTGCATGTTGATAGAATTATTTATACATAAATGAAAAATAGGATTTAATATTAAAAATAAACTAAAAATATATTTTTTTTGAATGTTAATAGAGTTATCTTGGTATGAAATAAATTAGATATATTTATATGAATAAACAGAATATAAATTTATTTTATTGCATGTTGATAGAATTATTTATACATAAATGAAAAATAGGATTTAATATTAAAAATAAAATGAAAATATTTTTTTTTGAATGTTAATAGAGCCATCTTCGCATGAAATAAGTCAGATGTATTTATATAAATAAACAATATAAATTTATTTTATTGCATATTGATAGAATTATTTATACATAAATGAAAAATAGGATTTAATATAAAAAACAAACTGAAAATATTTTTTTGAATGCTATTAGAGTTATCTTGGTATGAAATAAATTAGATATATTTATATGAATAAACAGAATATAAATTTATTTTAGTGCATGTTGATAGAATTATTTATACATAAATTAAAAATAGAATTTAATATGAAAAATAAAATAAAAATTGTTTTTTTTGAATATTAATAGAGCCATCTCCGCATGAAATGAATCAGATGTATTTATATGAATAAAAAGAATATGAATTTATTTTATTGCATGTTGATAGAAATATTTATACATAAATGAAAAATAGGATTTAATATTAAAAATAAAATG